TCCAACATTTTGTTCCTTAATAATAAATCTACTAATAATTTATAGTTATCTCTAACATTGGCCGAATCAATCATTTATCAAAAATATTCTGAACTTCCGACAAATAGTCAGTGAACGTCTGATCAGACTTTGGCTTTAAATCAAGAAACTTTTTTCTATACCCTGCTTCATGTAGGTCATAGTGTCGCATGATGCGATCTTTAATATAGTCAAAGTCTAATCTTAGATGTTCAGGGACTGTTTCTAAGATCTTCAATGGTTCAAATGCTAAATATTTTTGAAAAATAATGGCCCACTGGTCTTTTGGGACATCATGAAAGCGCATTTGTAAAAGGAAACTAGATATATAACTAGCAATGTCATCCCTTTCAGAGAAATTTCTGACTATACCTGCATACTTTTTGAATTTATTTTCTTCTTCTTTTAATCTTTCTTTTTGAATAGCAGCTTCTCTTCTGGAATCATTTTCCATCTCTTTAGTTCTTATTTGCGCCTCTGCCTTTTCTTTTTCAGTCTGAATTGAAGCAGCTATCTTTTCACGTTCTAATTGTGCATTTGTTTGTATTTCCATCTCTTTCAAATGTTTCTCTTGTTCAAGTTGTTTATCTTTTAATATTTTCTCTTGTTCAAGTTGTTTATCTCTCATCTCCATTTCTTGTCTTTTCAATTCCATTTCTTGTGTCTTCATATCTAGTTCGTGTGCTCGTAACAATCTCCGTTCTTCCCTCAAATCGTCTTGTATTTTCTTTTCCTTCTCATCACAAAACTTTCTAAGTTCTTCCCCTTCTAAATTCAATTCTTTGCCCAGCTTGATCAGCTCTGCCAAGTTAGACATTTTTATGTCTTTACAATGTAAACAACAATAAAGTTACAATACCTTACTTACAAATTACACACCCTGAAAGAACAATATAAGTTCAATATAATGAACTAGTAACTTGAATTAATAACTAAATGTTCCTGGGTATCAATACTATACCTTACAATAAAGTGAATGTAACTCTTCCAACCACCAAGCCTATAACTAAATAATTCTATATATATACAGTTGATGTTTGAGAAGAAGAGTTAACTAATATTTGTTTAGCTTATGGGAGAGTAAATCAGTTAAGCATACTTGAGAAATTAGATATGACAGCAAGAAAAATGATATATAATTTGATAAAGATTATTAATCAACTAATAGAATGTTGTAGCACTAGAATAGATGCAGTGGATTATCAAAGTGTTAGATGTAGTGGACTATCAAAGTATTTACCAAATAAATAACTCATTAATATGTAAATGTGTAACAATGATTAAATGTTATAATAATCCTGTGTAGTACAGTAGTTGGTTATAAAGTTTCAGACTGATTATACCTTGTGAAATAACACCAAAAAAAAAAATTGTCTTTAATGGCCGCACAGTCTGGGTATAATTAAATACTCTTCTAATGAAATAAATAAAGAAATATTTGATTGAATTAGTCTTGATAATCGACTGTGATAGAGTAATCACTAATACTCTCAAATAATTAAATTATTTCATGTAATAACTACTAAATACACTTGTTCAGTATGACGCTTATTAAATTCGCTTTCAATGAAGCAAAACTCAGTTACAATATATATGCAGAAACTTGTAACAAAATAATTCTTATCCACCAATAAATTTAGTCTAAATTAGAAATCAACAATAATACTATTGACTACAAGGTGAATAAGGATATGGTGTTCAATCAATGAATGTATCACCAACTAATATTACAATGATCTTTCCCCAATCAACTGTTAAATCACCAATGATTAACTTATTATTCTTGGTATACAATACAATTTCTATTACCCACAACTGTACTTTTGTTATAGGGGTTACACCTGATGATGATCAAATGTGAATAAGTAGATCAAATGTTAAACTCAAATTGAAATAACTTTGACACTTGATAGTGATGATGTGTGTATGATATTATATTGATAAAATATTAATTGATATTTTCACACTAGATGATAATAATTTAATATTTTTGTAATTTCCTAATTATGTATGACTAATTATGGCACTTCCTGATGATGGTGGTACTGAACTTCCGTGTAATATAACACCCACAATTTTAAAAATGAAAAATAAATAGAATTTCAATACAATTTGCCAATATTTATAAATAAAAAGAAATAATGTAAAGAATAGTAGAATAATGCAAAATAATATGAAAAACCAATGTAATAATAATAATAAATAAATAAATGACAATGACTGCACTAATGTAAAATATAAATAAATAGTATTGATAATAATAATCTGTAAATGAATCACTAGAAAATAAATTACAATAAAATTAATAATCGATGCTGTATCTTGTGCTGATCTAGTCTGTCCTGAGGCTGCTTCTGCGATGACTTGCTTTCTTGACCGTTGTTCAGATGACGCTTGTTAGTTGACTTGTTTACTACTTTTTTAGAATATGCAACACATTATGTTAATTTAGTAGAAATGATTATGACTACACAACCTGTACACCAATTGACCTCAGATGTATACTGATTGTTACAATATTCACTGTACCCCTACTCTTTGCACAAACCGGACTTCAATCACTGTATGTCACCTTTTACTTTCCACTGTGTAGTAGCACTACAACTCTAGCACACTATGCGCAGTTCATATCTAACTACACAATTAAATAGTTCACTTCTACCTAAACACTTGAAAAATTCGCTGCTAAGTAGACAATTGAATTTGTGCCGATTATTCAGATGGTTTTTCAGTTGACTGCGTTTGGGCTGTAGGAAAGCTTTATTGTTATCGCTTTCTTGTGATATGGGCGATTATTATACGATGAACTTGAAGCATTATTGATCACGAGACATCAATGAGTGCTGATCTTGAGGTATCGTAGGCTTCTCATACTGTAGTTTCCTATTAAATGGTTTGCCACTGTTGAAAATGTAGAGCTGCGACACACACACCCAGTGTCAGAGCTGTGGTTCTTTTAATTTCCGTTTACAGTCAACACTCTACCCGGTGTTTTACTGTCTTTCTATATTTTGAAAAACAGATCCAAAAAACAGGATCTGGTGTCGACGCTTCTCTGTGTTGTTCAGTGTAGATTTCCCACAACACTTTACCACACTTTAGTCAGCAGCAAATTTTTATCAAACAACACGGCTTCGGAAGTTTTGCAGAGGGGCAGCCCTAGTCTTACATCATCTCTGTGTAGACTTACTGTTGCATTCCTTTGCTACCATTGATGATTGCTCCTTGACACTGTCACTGTCTGCAATCTTTCCTTTGCATCTTTGTTGATTGTTGATTAATTGGTCGAAACTTAGAACGTGGACTTGTCTATCAGTATTCAAAGCCTGGAATTTGTTTGAACGTTGTTCAATCTGTGAACCATCGAATATGGGTTGTTGTTATGTCGCCATCGATCTTCCCCGCTTACGTTCTAATGTTGAACTGGTACTACCCGACGTCAGGTTGATAACTAAACTCATTTCCAATGTCTCAGATTTACTGTACGATGCAACTTTTTCCTATCCTCAAATGTTTGGACGAGCCCCCATTCTGCGATGATCTTCTTTATTATTAATTGCTGGCTCGAATGAGTCACCACATCCTTCCATTCACCGACTGACAAGAACGAGAAAACATGGACGCTGGCAGACGTTCAGAAGTTACACGTACTGTTTATTTTCACTCGCTGATGTTGCAGTCAGTAAATGTTCAACACAACAGTATCACTCATCGATTACTTTTTCAATGATCTAAACAGTCAGTCATACCTTTGTAACATCGTAGAATTCATCCCACAACTAAGCGAAACACAATAATTCCATCCAACCAGACGACAGTCATTCACAGCTGGCCACCGTTTCTGTCAGCCGCTATTTCATGCCAGGTAGGCATTGGGAAATCACGCTATGCAGACACCAACATTCTTCCGGACTTCATCTTCTCACGTACACATTCCCTTGGCCTAAACGAGACTGCCTCTCAATCCTTTCTCCGCTATTATATAGCCCTCTGATCTCTGTCATGTTCTTCTCGAATATTCTGTATAACTTCATTCTCACGAATTCCCCGTTGAAAATCGTGTCTGGCCCGTGATAATTCACATTTCACACGAAGCCTGCCAGTCAACCTTCATGGTTCACGTGAACAATCACGTTTCACATAAAACCTGACTTTCAGATGTCTCCCATGAAACTCAGACACAAATCTCGTGTTATCCTAGTCAGTCAAAACATTCCCCTTACATTTATTACTGACGTCATCTGTCGGGCATAAATTAATTGGGAGAAAATGACTCACTACAGACATTCACACCCAAACGATTGAAGGGCTCTGGATGCTACTGAAGCGCAAGATTCGGCACCAATTGGGCACTAGCCGGGCGCTATTGCCTTCACATTTAGCAGAATTTCAATGGTGCCACTGCCAAAAGCAGCACATTGTCGGCCATTATTTGGAACTCCTGTCTGAAAATTATCACATATAATGGCTGTCATTATGGGTAAGTACTCGACGTTACATGTGTTACCCAAACCCTAACTCTAACCCAACCCAAACCCTAACTCTAACCCAACCCTAACCCAAACCGTAACCGTATGATTATAGCATGGCAGTGCACGCTGTCTATCGCCAACACACAGTAATTGTGTCAATTGTTTCATTCCCTCCTTTTCCACTCCGTAATTAATGATAGGTGGTGTATTTGCGTGATCTAACTGTGTGTGATGATGATGGTTGCTGTATTTGCGTGATCTAACTCTGTGTGATGATGATGGTTGGTGTATTTGCGTGATCTAACTCTGTGTGATGATGATGGTTGCTGTATTTGCGTGATCTAACTCTGTGTGATGATGATGGTTGCTGTATTTGCGTGATCTAACTCTGTGTGATGATGATGGTTGCTGTATTTGTGTGATCTAAACCTGTGTGATGATGATGGTTAGTGTATTTGTGTGATCTAACTCTGTGTGATGTTGATGACTGTTACATCTCCACTGTTTCAGAAATGCTCCCAGGAATCTCTTCAAGAGTGGCCAGAACTACCAGAAAGGTTCCACAAGTAAGTCTTGAGTGTGTCCCGCGGTTTGTTGTTGTTTAGTGGTTCAGGCACTACCCTTGGTAGTTGACACACCAGTGGTGGGGTGAGCTTGTTGTTGAATGTGATGAGCTGAATGGTTGAGTGTGCAGTGAGTCTGATTTGTTGACCGACTGGTTGGCTAACGGATGAGTTGACTGACTGGTTGGCTGATTGATGAGTTTACTGACTGGTTGGCAAACGGATGAGTTGACTGACTGGTTGGCTAACTGATGAGTTGACTGACTGGTTGGCTAATTGATGAGTTGACTGACTGGTTGGCTAACTGATGAGTTGACTGACTGAGGAACTGGATGGCTGACATACTCACTGAGTGGCTTACTAATTGAGTGACTGACTGACTGAGTAGACTGACTTATAAGTGGCTGACTTAGTGGCTAACTGATTGAGTGACTGACTGACTTAGTTGACTGACTTAAAAGTAGCTGACTAACTGACTTAGTGGCTAACTGATTGAGTTACTGAGTGGACTGACTTATAAGTGCCTGACTGACTGACTTAGTGGCTAACTGATTGAGTGACTTACTTACTGATGAATTCTGTGTATGCATAAACTGAATGATTGCATGTTAGGTGAGGGTGATCTGGTAGCTGACTGACTGAACTACTGACTGATGGAATGACAGACTAACCAGTAATTCTATGTACACATAAAACACTTGAAACATTTGCCCCGTCAGTTTCCCCAGCCAAACCCATGCCAGCTGCCAAGGGACTGGACATTGAGGCTGTGGGCACTATCAACGGCACCCCTGTCTATGAGTTTGACCTCACCTCCATCAGTACCGATGAGATGCCATGGAGGAAACCTGGTGAGTACACCACAGGCTCAGGGTCAAGGGTCACTTGTATGTTTGTGTTGTATCTCAGACTTGATCTGGACTGTTCCTATCCCTAGGTTACAGCACAGGCTCTTTGTCAAGGGTCGCTTGTATGTTTGTGTTGTATCTCAGACTTGATCTGGACTGTTCCTATCCCTAGGTTACAGCACAGGCTCTTTGTCAAGGGTCGCTTGTATGTTTGTGTTATATCTCAGACTTGATCTGGACTGTTCCTATCCCTAGGTTACAGCACAGGCTCAGTGTCAAGGGTCGCTTGTATGTTTGTGTTGTATCTCAGACTTGATCTGGACTGTTCCTATCCCTAGGTTACAGCACAGGCTCAGTGTCAAGGGTCGCTTGTATGTTTGTGTTGCATCTCAGACTTGATCTGGACTGTTGCTATCCCTAGGTTACATAACAGGCAGTTCTTATCTCTAGGTAACATCACAGTGACCTTTGTATTGCGCGTATAAAAACAGTGAGTGTCTTGCTATATCTAAGATGTCTGGAGGAAACCCAGAGTCTTAACAGGGATTTGGGAGAAGTGGGGACATGGATATGAGAGAAGTGAAAACATGAAACATGGATATGGGAGAAGTGGGGACATAGATATGGGAGAAGGGACATAGATATGGCAGAAGTGGGGACATAGAAATGGGAGAAGTGGAGACATGGAACATAGATATGGGAGATGTGGGGACATGGATATGGGAGATGTGGAGACATGGAACATGGATATGGGAGATGTGGTGACATGAAACATGGATATGGGAGATGTGGAGACATGAAACATGGATATGGGAGATGTGAAGACATGGATATGGGAGATGTGGAGACATGAAACATGGATATGGGAGATGTGGAGACATGAAACATGGATATGGGAGAAGTGGAGACATGGATATGGGAGATGTGGAGACATGGATATGGGAGATGTGGAGACATGAAACATGGATATGGGAGATGTGGAGACATGAAACATGGATATGGGAGATGTGGAGACATGGATATGGGAGATGTGGAGACATGGAACATGGATATGGGAGAAGTGGAGACATGGATATGGGAGAAGTGGAGACATGGATATGGGAGATGTGGAGACATAAAACATGGATATGGGAGATATGGAGACATGAAACATGGATATGGGAGAAGTGGGGACATGGCTATGGCTATGGAGTTTTGATTGTCATGCATGTTTTTCCCCCAGGTGCTGACATCAACGACTACTTCAACTACGGCTTCACAGAGGAGACCTGGAAGGCTTATTGTGAGAAACAGAAGTTGTTGAGATCTGAGGCTGCAGGCGGCACCGCCGTATTGCCCACACCAGTCACTAAAATTGTAAGTCTGGGCACTACAATGCTAGCCACACCCATCACTACAGTACCAACCACACCCATCACTACAGTGCCAGCCACACCCATCACTACAGTGCCAGCCACACCCATCACTACAGTACCAGCCACACCCGTCACTACAGTACCAGCCACACCCATCACTACAATACCAGCCACACCCGTCACTACAGTACCAGCCACACCCATCACTACAATACCAGCCACACCCGTCACTACAGTACCAGCCACACCCATCACTACAATACCAATCACACCCGTCACTACAATACAAGCCACACCCGTCACTACAATACTGGCCACACCCACTACTACATTAACGGCCACACCCATTACTACATTACCAGTCACACCCATCACTGCAATACCAGCCACACCCATCGCTACAATACCGGCCATACCCATTGCTACAGTTCTGCCACACTCACCACTGCAGTGCTGCCACACCCATCACTACAGTACTGGTCACACCCATCACTACAGTACTGGTCACACCCAACACTACAGTACTGGTCACACCCAACACTACAGTACTGGTCACACCCATCACTACAGTACTGGTCACACCCAACACTACAGTACTGGTCACACCCATCACTACAGTACTGGTCACACCCAACACTACAGTACTGGTCACACCCATCACTACAGTACTGGTCACACCCAACACTACAGTACTGGTCACACCCAACACTCCAGTACTGGTCACACCCAACACTACAGTACTGGTCACACCCAACACTACAGTACAGGTCACACCCAACACTACAGTACTGGTCACACCCAACACTACAGTACTGGTCACACCCAACACTACAGTACTGGTCACACCCAACACTACAGTACTGGTCACACCCAACACTACAGTACTGGTCACACCCAACACTACAGTAACGGTCACACCCATCACTACAGTACTGGTCATACCCATCACTACAGTACCAACCACACCCATCACTACAGTACCAACCACACCCATAACTACAGTACCAGCCACACCCATCACTTAGTACCAACCACACCCGTCACTACAGTACCAGCCACACCCGTCACTACAATACCAGCCACACCCGTCACTACAATACCAGCCACACCCGTCACTACAATATCAGCCACACCCGCCACTACAATATCAGCCACACCCGTCACTACAATACCAGCCACACCCGTCACTACAATACCAGCCACACCTGTCACTACAATACCAGCCGCACCCGTCACTACAATACCAGCCACACCCGTCACTACAATACCAGCCACACCCGCCACTACAATACCAGCCACACCCGTCACTACAATACCAGCCACACCCGTCACTACAATACCAGCCGCACCCGTCACTACAATACCAGCCACACCCGCCACTACAATACCAGCCACACCCGTCACTACAATATCAGCCACACCCGTCACTACAATACCAGCCACACCCGTCACTACAATACCAGCCACACCCGTCACTACAATACCAACCACACCCGTCACTACAATACCAACCACACCCGTCACTACAATACCAGCCACACCCGTCACTACAATACCAGCCACACCCATCACTACAATACTGGCCACACCCATTACTACATTACCGGTCACACCCATCGCTACATTACCGGTCACACCCATCGCTACAATACCGGCCATACCCATTGCTACAGTTCTGCCACACTCACCACTGCAGTGCTGCCACACCCATCACTACAGTACTGGTCACACCCATCACTACAGTACTGGTCACACCCAACACTACAGTACTGGTCACACCCATTACTACAGTACTGGTCACACCCATCACTACAGTACTAGCCACACCCATCACTACAGTACTGGTCACACCCATCACTACAGTACTGGTCACACCCATCACTACAGTACTGGTCACACCCATCACTACAGTACTGGTCACACCCATCACTACAGTACTGGTCACACCCATCACTACAGTACTGGCCACACCCATCACTACAGTACTGGTCACACCCATCACTACAGTACTGGTCACACCCATCACTACAGTACTGGTCACACCCATCACTACAGTACTGGTCACACCCATCACTACAGTACTGGTCACACCCAACACTACAGTACTGGTCACACCCAACACTACAGTACTGGTCACACCCATCACTACAGTACTGGTCATACCCATCACTACAGTACTGGTCACACCCATCACTACAGTACTGGTCACACCCATCACTACAGTACTGGTCACACCCAACACTACAGTACTGGTCACACCCAACACTACAGTACTGGTCACACCCAACACTACAGTACTGGTCACACCCAACACTACAGTACTGGTCACACCCAACACTACAGTACTGGTCACACCCAACACTACAGTACTGGTCACACCCATCACTACAGTACTGGTCACACCCATCACTACAGTACTGGTCACACCCAACACTACAGTACTGGTCATACCCATCACTACAGTACTGGTCACACCCATCACTACAGTACTGGTCACACCCATCACTATAGTACTGGTCACACCCATCACTACAGTACTGGTCACACCCATCACTACAGTACTGGTCACACCCATCACTACAGTACTGGTCACACCCAACACTACAGTAACGGGCACACCCATTACTACAGTACTGGTCACACCGATTACTACAATAACTGTATTTGTGAATGAAATGTGCATGTCCTGTGTAACATGTATGTCCTATGTAATGTGCATGTCCTAGGTAACATTTATGTCCTGTGTAACATGTATGTCCTATGAAATGTGCATGTCCTGTGTAATGTGTATGTCCTGTGTAATGTGTATGTCCTGTGTAATGTGCATGTCCTGTGTAACATGTATTTCCTATGTAATGTGCATGTCCTGTGTAACGTTTATGTCCTATGTAATGTTCATGTCCTGTGTAACATGTATGTACTATGTAATGTACATGTCCTGTGTAACAGGTATGTCCTATGTGATTTGCATGTCCTGTGTTACATGTATGTCCTATGTAATGTGCATGTCCTGTGTAATGTGCATGTCCTGTGTAATGTGTATGTCCTATGTAATGTGTATGTCCTGTGTAATCTGTTTTTTGTCTGTTTCAGATGAGCTCGCCCGCCCCGGTGACACAGAAAGGTATGTGGGGGACACAGTGTTTGTTTATTAGTTATCATTCTCACAGCCTTGACATTATCGTTGATATAGCTGTGAGAATCATGAAGGTGGCCAGGCCTTCCTGCCACTTGATGGTGACTACAGGAAGACAGGTGGTTGACCTGCCACTTGATGGTGACTACAGGAAGACGGGTGGTTGACCTGCCACTTGATGGTGACTACAGAAAGACAGGTGGTTGACCTGCCACTTCATGGTGACTACAGAAAGACAGGTGGTTGACCTGCCACTTCACGGTGACTACAGAAAGACAGGTGGTTGACCTGCCACTTGATGGTGACTACAGAAAGACAGGTGGTTGACGCCACTTGATGGTGACTAAAGGAAGACAGGTGGTTGACCTGCCACTTGATGGTGACTACAGAAAGACAGGTGGTTGACCTGCCACTTGATGGTGACTACAGAAAGACAGGTGGTTGACCTGCCACTTGATGGTGACTACAGGAAGACAGGTGGTTGACCTGCCACTTGATGGTAACTACAGAAAGACAGGTGGTTGACCTGCCACTTGATGGTGACTAAAGGAAGACAGGTGGTTGACCTGCCACTTGATGGTAACTACAGAAAGACAGGTGGTTGACCTGCCACTTGATGGTAACTACAGAAAGACAGGTGGTTGACCTGCCACTTCATGGTAACTACAGAAAGACAGGTGGTTGACCTGCCACTTCATGGTAACTACAGAAAGACAGGTGGTTGACCTGCCACTTCATGGTAACTACAGAAAGACAGGTGGTTGACCTGCCACTTGATGGTAACTACAGAAAGACAGGTGGTTGACCTGCCACTTCATGGTAACTACAGAAAGACAGGTGGTTGAGTCAGCAAAGTGTCATGACCGGTGAAGGTTGTGGGTTCCATACCCTTGAGTGCTGCTTCGTGAAGATGTCAGGAAATTGTTGCTCAAGCTACAGAGTTTATGCTTGTTGTGAGATTGTCAGCTGGAGGCCTGTAGCTCATGAGACTGTCAGCTGTAGGCCTGTGACTGTTGAGACTGTCAGCTGTTGAGACTGTCAGCTGTAGGCCTGTGGCTGTTGAGACTGTCAGCTGTAGGCCTGTGGCTGTTGAGACTGTAAGTTGTAGGCCTGTGGCTCATGAGACTGTCAGCTGTAGGCCTGTGGCTCATGAGACTGTCAGCTGTAGGCCTGTGGCTCATGAGACTGTGAGCTGTAGGCCTGTGGCTGTTGAGACTGTGAGCTGTAGGCCTGTGGCTGTTGAGACTGTCAGCTGTAGGCCTGTGGCTCATGAGACTGTCAGCTGTAGGCCTGTGGCTCATGAGACTGTCAGCTGTAGGCCTGTGGCTCATGAGACTGTCAGCTGTAGGCCTGTGGCTGGTGAGACTGTCAGCTGTAGGCCTGTGGCTGGTGAGGCTGTAATTTCTCATTGTTGCTGACACATTCTGTCAGTGCTTAGCTGTCATTTCTCATGTTTGCTGACACATTCTGTCAGTGCTCGGCTGTCATTTCTCATTGTTGCTGACGCATTCTGTCATATCTCATTGTTGTGGAGACATTCATTCAGTGCTTAGCTGTCATTTCTCATTGTTGCGGACGCATTGTGTCATACTGTTGCGGAGACATTCTGTCAGTGCTCGGCTGTCATCTCTTATTGTTGCTGAGACATAATGTCAGTGCTCAGCTGTCATATCTCATTGTTGCTGACATTCTATTTGTGCTCAGCTGTCATCTCTCATTGTTGCTGACACATTTTGTCAGTGCTCAGCTATCATCTCTCATTGTTGCTGAGACATTCATTTAGTGCTCAGCTGTCATCTCATTGTTGCTGACATATTCTGTCAGTGCTGAGTTGTCATCTCTCATTGTTGCTGTCATATTCTGTCAGTGCTCAGTTGTCATCTCTCATTGTTGCTGACACATTCTGTCAGTGCTCAGCTGTCATCTCTCATTGTCGCTGTCATATTCTGTCAGTGATCAGTTGTCATCTCTCATTGTTGCTGAGACATTCTGTCACTGCTAAGCTGTCATCTAAAAATAGAAGTAGAACTAGTCTGCTTTACAACACTGCAATCATGAACAACTAAATGAACATTGTGGCTTGAAAGCCTTCATCAGGAAAGAACACAGAGACAGTGATACAATTACAAACAACAGTACATACATTCACTTGTCTGTGACACAATCTCTATAACCGGCTTGAACAGTAGGCACATGTCTTGTTGTAGGATAGGGAAATAACCCTGACACATGAGAGTAGAGTTAGCAGGCATTTCTGATAACTGCTTAGCAGGCATTTCTGGTAACTGCTTAGCAGGCATTTGAGGTAACTGGTTAGCAGGCATTTAAGGTAACTGATTAGCGGGCATTTGAGGTAACTGCTTAGCAGGCATTTGTGGTAACTGCTAAGCAGGCATTTGAGGTAACTGGTTAGTGGGCATTTCTGGTAACTGTTAGTGGGCATTTGCGGTAACTGGTTAGTGGGTATTCGTGGTAACTGCTAAGCAGGCATTTGAGGTAACTGGTTAGTGGGCATTTGCGGTAACTGGTTAGTGGGCATTTGCGGTAACTGGTTAGTGGGCATTTGCGGTAACTGGTTAGTGGGCATTTGTGGTAACTGTTAGTGGGCATTTGTGGTAACTGTTAGTGGGCATTTGTGGTAACTGGTTAGTGGGCATTTGTGGTAACTGGTTAGTGGGCATTTGAGGTAACTGGTTAGTGGGCATTTGTGGTAACTGTTAGTGGGCATTTGTGGTAACTGTTAGTGGGCATTTGTGGTAACTGGTTAGTGGGCATTTGTGGTAACTGGTTAGTGGGCATTTGTGGTAACTGGTTAGTGGGCATTTGTGGTAACTGTTAGTGGGCATTTGTGGTAACTGTTAGTGGGCATTTGTGGTAACTGTTAGTGGGCATTTGCAGTAACTGGTTAGTGGGCATTTGTGGTAACTGTTAGTGGGCATTTGTGGTAACTGGTTAGTGGGCATTTGTGGTAACTGGTTAGTGGGCATTTGTGGTAACTGCTAGTGGGCATTTGCAGTAACTGGTTAGTGGGCATTTGTGGTAACTGTTAGTGGGCATTTGTGGTAACTGTTAGTGGGCATTTGTGGTAACTGGTTAGTGGGCATTTGTGGTAACTGGTTAGTGGGCATTTGTGGTAACTGTTAGTGGGCATTTGCAGTAACTGGTTAGTGGGCATTTGTGGTAACTGTTAGTGGACATTTGTGGTAACTGTTAGTGGACATTTGTGGTGACTGTTAGTGGTCATTTGCAGTAACTGGTTAGTGGGCATTTGCAGTAACTGGTTAGTGGGCATTTGTGGTAACTGTTAGTGGGCATTTGCAGTAACTGGTTAGTGGACATTTGTGGTAACTGTTAGTGGACATTTGTGGTAACTGTTAGTGGGCATTTGTGGTAACTGTTAGTGGACATTTGTGGTAACTGTTAGTGGACATTTGTGGTAACTGTTAGTGGGTATTTGTGGTAACTGTTAGTGGGCATTTGTGGTAACTGTTAGTGGACATTTGTGGTAACTGGTTAGTGGGCATTTGTGGTAACTGTTAGTGGGCATTTGTGGTAACTGGTTAGTGGGCATTTGTGGTAACTGGTTAGTGGGCATTTGTGGTAACTGCTAGTGGGCATTTGTGGTAACTGTTAGTGGGTATTTGTGGTAACTGTTAGTGGGTATTTGTGGTAACTGTAAGTGGGTATTTGTGGTAACTGGTTAGTGGGCATTTGTGGTAACTGGTTAGTGGGCATTTGTGGTAACTGCTAGTGGGCATTTGTGGTAACTGTTAGTGGGCATTTGTGGTAACTGTTAGTGGGCATTTGTGGTAACTGTTAGTGGGTATTTGTGGTAACTGTTAGTGGGTATTTGTGGTAACTGTTAGTGGGTATTTGTGGTAACTGTTAGTGGACATTTGTGGTAACTGTTAGTGGACATTTGTGGTAACTGTTAGTGGGCATTTGTGGTAACTGTTAGTGGGCATTTGTGGTAACTGTTAGTGGACATTATTGGTAACTGTTAGTGGACATTTGTGGTAACTGTTAGTGGGCATTTGTGGTAACTGTTAGTGGGTATTTGTGGTAACTGTTAGTGGGCATTTGTGGTAACTGTTAGTGGGTATTTGTGGTAACTGTTAGTGGACATTTGTGGTAACTGTTAGTGGGCATTTGCGGTAACTGGTTAGTGGGTATTCGTGGTAACTGCTAAGCAGGCATTTGAGGTAACTGGTTAGTGGGCATTTGCGGTAACTGGTTAGTGGGCATTTGCGGTAACTGGTTAGTGGGCATTTGCGGTAACTGGTTAGTGGGCATTTGTGGTAACTGTTAGTGGGCATTTGTGGTAACTGTTAGTGGGCATTTGTGGTAACTGGTTAGTGGGCATTTGTGGTAACTGGTTAGTGGGCATTTGAGGTAACTGGTTAGTGGGCATTTGTGGTAACTGTTAGTGGGCATTTGTGGTAACTGTTAGTGGGCATTTGTGGTAACTGGTTAGTGGGCATTTGTGGTAACTGGTTAGTGGGCATTTGTGGTAACTGGTTAGTGGGCATTTGTGGTAACTGTTAGTGGGCATTTGTGGTAACTGTTAGTGGGCATTTGTGGTAACTGTTAGTGGGCATTTGCAGTAACTGGTTAGTGGGCATTTGTGGTAACTGTTAGTGGGCATTTGTGGTAACTGGTTAGTGGGCATTTGTGGTAACTGGTTAGTGGGCATTTGTGGTAACTGCTAGTGGGCATTTGCAGTAACTGGTTAGTGGGCATTTGTGGTAACTGTTAGTGGGCATTTGTGGTAACTGTTAGTGGGCATTTGTGGTAACTGGTTAGTGGGCATTTGTGGTAACTGGTTAGTGGGCATTTGTGGTAACTGTTAGTGGACATTTGCGGTAACTGTTAGTGGGCATTTGTGGTAACTGTTAGTGGGTATTTGTGGTAACTGTTAGTGGACATTTGTGGTAACTGTTAGTGGGCATTTGTGGTAACTGTTAGTGGGCATTTGTGGTAACTGTTAG